CGAGCCAGACCAGATAGTGACAATACGCGGCCTTACTACGGTAGCCTAGTGTAACCTGGAGCTCGCAATAGCACCCCGCCACGTCCCTGACACCTGGGCGGCCACCAAAGTGTGTTCTACCTCCCTATTACGGAAAGTTATTAAAGTACACTCAAGGCTTTCATACAGCACGTCCTAAGGTGTGCTAGTCGGTAATGTTGGCAAATCCGTGCTCCGACAAATACGATCCTAGAAAAATAGCGCAGGCATTGTTTACATTTTTTACTCAGTGTTAGAAAACAAGCTCAAGCGTCGATATAGGATTGTCAAGGCATTGACAAAACCCTTAAAATATTGCGTAAGGCTATATTCTGATATAAATAAATAAATAAATAAATATAAATATATATATATATATATATATATATATATATATATATATATATATATATATATATATATATATATATATATTGGTCACTAAAATAGTCCCACGCAATAATTTGTTGACCGTTTTATGGGCTTTCGGTATGTAATAATATATGGGGAAATTCGCGACATATACGCAATTGTTAGATTTAAAGCCTAACCTACCGCCACTAGAAATAGCTTCTTTTCAAGGTTGGGCAAAAAAAGGTTGTTTTTTTTTTGTTTGGATAACACACACAAATGAATATATGCAATCCATTTTTTTTCTAACTTTCAATTGTTTTTGTAAAAAAAATATACGACGTGGGACGGGCTCGGAGGAAAAGGGTTTCTTTTAATATTTAATAAATCGCTTTACATTATTTTTGAACTAGAAATCTTTGTCTAGGCGTTATACTTCAACCCATTCAAAATGGCTGGAGAATGTAAACTTCGAGACTGATCAAAAATTAAAACTATACATTGTTACTCAGTGTTAAAATCTAAATCAAGTTTTAATGTATTCTTATACAAAATATAAGTAGTATTTAACATTATTTAAATGTGTTTGTCTACTAAAACTTACCAAAACGACCACTTCCAGAGATTTAACGTTTTCAAGTTAAAATTTAGTCTGGTACGTTCTTCGCTGACTGACAGGTGCATTCGGAACAACACGTAGCGCAATCGACAGACAATACACAATTGGTTAAAAATAGGTTTCTAAGTAGGCTGTACTTGAATGTTCTCGGAAAATATGTCTAAAACATGCGTAGGCTAATGTTTAAATACCTAAGTTATGGTATGTTGGTTTCACATTCACATACACAATTGTTTATTCTTCTAATTTAACAGGAAACGAAAGTGTAATTGAAAACAATAATTCTTTTTTAAATCCTGTAAACCTGGGAAATAGAGTGAATAATGTTTAGGATGTTTTAAGTTCTAACAAGATGAAATTTGGGTTTTTTCTTCTTCTTCTTCGTTCTTAATTTCTAGTGTTGGGAGGGATCGAGCCTTATCTGCCCGAGGGTTCGAACTCGAGACTTTTATGTTTAGCAACCATGAGCTTTACCGACTCGACCATGCCGACCCCTTTTTTTTAATTATAGGCTATTTTCGTTCACAGAAAATAATGCACACTATACTCCGACTTCTTAAAATTCAACCTAACATTCTAATCCTGGTATTTATTTTAATGATAGCTCACTAACACATTTCTATTCTCATACTTGATTATACATACAATCAAGTTGCATAAGGAGACTCAACGTAATAAAGTATAGCATAATAAAACTTAAGTGACGTCAGGAGTCTAAATAGCTAAGTTGTTAGTGTAATAGGCCTTCATGCAGGTGGCTCGGGTTCTAGACACATCACGTATTTAGTTTAATGATAGCTCACTTACACATGTCTATTCTCATACTTGATTATACATACACCTAGTGGGTAGCCTGTATCGTCTCATAATGGAAAATTCGGATTCTGGGAAAAAAATCTGTTTTCAATTACATTTTCGTTTCCTGTTAAATTAGAAGTTTTAAGTAGCTGATTTTGGTTTCGGTTTAGAGACAAAGACAACACTATCAACCTAGCGCCCGTTGTGCGTGTGTGTGTGTGTACGCGTGTGTGTTTGTAAAAAAAACCAAGTAAAAAAAAACGCTAGAATTACAAGACAGGAAAAAATGTCAGTTAATGGAGATTTATGGGACGGAGTGGTCTAGCGGTAGAGAGCTGGACTACTAACCAGTAAGTCTCGAGTTCGAATCCGGGTTCAAGTCAGTAGACCGTCCCTGAGTCCACCCAACTCTGATGGGTACCTAACTCACATTAGGGAAAGTAAAGGGGGCTGGGCATAGTGCTGACCACATTATCTCTTCATATGCCGAGGTCACAGAAACAAGTGAACTATACTTCACTCATCCTATAGGCCGTCAGGTTTGAAAAGGGAACGTTAGACTTGTTCGTCTCAATGGGGATTTAGCAAAAGAATGTATAGCCTACATGCTTAGCGTTTGTATTATTCTGTTTCAGTATTATCTAAGTGACTGAAGCTTGGATATCCGCATAAACATGTAAAAAAATAAACATGGTTAAATGCATTAAAAAAAAGAAAGACGTAGATCTATTTTTCACAAGCAATTAATAGAGACAAAAATTACTTTAGAAAAGCCTTTATGTCTTCTACAAAATATAAAAGAAAACTCATATTTCTCAAACTACTCTAGGTTGAACAATCATGAATATTAACAGGATATTTAATTTAAAGACTAGTGCCATATTGCGTTGACTAACAAAAACTCAAGTTGTGTAGCATGTTTAGGTAGGAGTGTGTTTAATGGTGTTTAATGAAAATAAAAATATTAGGCTTAATTAAATTGCGAAACAAACAGGAGGGTAGTATTCAATTACAACTTATATTTCTTCAGGAGTATAAATTCAGTATAAATGTGTTACATCTCTGATATTACAACTACAGAATTTTTTAAATTGTGATTGAATATAACTTATCTTTTAAAAATCGTAACTATACGAAAATTGGATTCAGATAACAACATTTGAAAACACTCTCCACATCTTTTTTATTTAAAGGCCTACTGTTGTAAACATGTTAGAGTTATAGTGCTACTTGTCTAGATCAAATGGAAGATACAATATGATTATAATAATAGATATTTTTAAATGTCACTTTATATTATATACAATTGCAAATTTGACAAAATAAGCTTGCCTGATGTAATATACTTATTGGTCGTACTTTATGGGCTAAGCAAGATCAATCAGAAACTCATTTATTATTTTAGGGAGAGCTCACGTTAAATAAACATTGTTTGACATGAAGCGATGTTATTTACAGTGTGTACTATAAAGCTTGTCTGACTAAGGGTCACACGTATATTTTCAAGGGAGAAAAATAATCTCATACTTTCCTATTTGTAAATTTAGAAGAAATAAAGCGGAAAATAAAGCTCTCCTAAACTGTATGGAATATTCTTATATAACACTACGGAGTATGGGAACTCGGGATAAAGACATGATTTTTAATCAATTTTTATTACTTAAACTTTTTAAAATTTCATGAAAAAAACGTATTAATAACAATATTTTACGTAATAATGCACTAAAAAGGAGAAAATAAATTGTACACTACTATTTAAATAACTATACAAAAAAGCATATACGCTCTGTATACGAGAAAGTAAAAATTATCCATTCGAAATGAAATTAAAACTACATGGGCTACGACTTTGAAAATTTGCTTGTGATCTATAGATTCAGTTATCTGCAGTTATGTTGTTCGAAGTCAACTTTACGACAAAAAAAAAAAAAAAGCAACCGTGAAAACAGTTCACTCAAAACGACCGAGTGTTCTTTTATTTTTTATTTATTTTCTCATTTATTGTAATTTGTAAATTGAATTGTCTATCTAATTAGATTAAAAGTTAGATAAACTTGCATTGTCATCCAAGATCTAATGCAGTGGTAACGTATTATAGCAGTTATCAACGTATTGCGTAGTTTTATATCGTGAGTTACAGCATAAAATTGACCCCGACAATCTCCTCTGTTTATGGCTTTTATTATAAGCCCATCAAGGCAGATTGGACCTTCTGTCACATCATCTGTATTGTTGTTATTGATTTTTCACTGCATGTCATTCATATGCCCCCCCCCACCCTTCACAAATATATAAGTAGAGCTGTATTACTTACGGCACCTTAATATAAAACTTGCCTCGTTGAAATTAAGGTCTGTCGTACTAGTTTAATTATTTATTCGCAATAGACAGCCAATTTGATATGGGGTAATAGATAAAGAAACGCATTGTTTAAGAGAAATTAGAAACTAGTTACCATTTATTGGAAATTATAATTATAATTTACATGTTGGTTTTTTTTACTGCATGTTGGACTTGATATATTTTTACTGATTGTCAGAAAAAAGCGCTACGAAAAATGCGCTAGAAATATGCGCAATAGAAAAACGAGCAAATAGAAAAAGCGCAATTTTCTTGTACAGTATTTTTCAGTGTGCGCACATTTCCTTGTGCGCAATTTTTTTCTGTGTTCTTTTTCCCGTTTTTCTATTTTCCTGATTACCACTTTTTATTTTGTACTTTATTTTATACTTTATTTTATACTTTATACTTATAGGCTATTTTATTTTTACATCTGATCTGTTTATCTATTTCCATATGTATATAGCAGCTCTGATTATTTATAAAGATTACAATAAAAGTAATAATTCATTTCTTATGACATCTAGAATTAACAAGTGATGTTTCGAATGGAAAATCACGACAGCAGAAATGTTGACATCGTTAAGACATATGCGTGTATTTACAAATGCATATACAGAACTACCCAAATTAAAAACACTTGAAAGATAACTAAAACAGCACTGGTTATCATTTGTCATATATATAAATAAATAAATAAATAAATATATATATATATATATATATATATATATATATATATATATATATATATATATATATATATATATATATATATATATATATATATATATATATATATATATATATATATATATATATATATATATATATATATAAATATATATATAACAACAAAAAGCTGTTTAAAAATAATTATAATGAATACTTATATCGACAAATAAAACAATCCACCTCTCAAACACACGTATAAATATGTTAGAAATACAGCTAGGTCTTTTTGTAGTTTTGAGCAACAAAAAATATTACTTTCTAGCACGTTTTGCAGGTGGGCCTTTTGGCGATTTAGCAATGATTTCTCTCAATGTCTGTAGATTTTCAGTCTCTTCCTCCCATTCAAATGCACTAATATTTAAAATTCTTTCATTAACTCCTATCCACCGAGAATGTGGATGATTGGTCCAAACATTTTCTCTCCCCAATATGTACACTGGTCCACCGCTACTACCTTCACATGTTAAAGCATCGTACAAATATTGTGTGTTAATGGTGTTTTCCTTAGGGCCAGCTTTTTCTTGAATGATCTCTACCTTTCCTATCGATATCTTTTTAGCCGAGTAGTGGGGATGCGATATTACAACCGCTATATTTGCTGCATTTTCATTTTCACTTGCAGGTTGTATGAAGCGATTCTTTAGTTTTTCTACCACGAGTTTGTTTCGCTCGTGGTATTTTATGATATTACTTATCAATAGATTGCGCAGCTTTCTATCGTGGGTTACAACATAAAATTCACACCGATCATCTGTTCGGTTTATTGCTTTCATTGTGTGCCCATTAAGCCAGATGAGGCCTTTTTCCACGCCATCTTTATTGTAATTAATGATGCACTCGACACTTTTAGCCTCATTGTCATCGTTTACAACGTGAGCTGCTGTCACAATTACAATTAAACTAAACTCTTTCTTGTGCTTGCCAGACTTGACACATCCAGGACAAGGGCATTTTTGGTTGTCTTCTTCCTTTTTTATTTCAACCCATTTGATTCGACCACTACCGTAGCGTGCTTTTGCGGATTCTTGTATCTCTTGTGCTGCAGCTTCAGGTTCAGACAGTATTTTAAAATCGCCCACCCAACGGTCTGGGTTGGTGAATTTTCTTTTTATAAGCACTACCAAATTTTGTAAAGAATTAATTACATCGAATAGTTCTTGCTTCATATCATCAACGTTTAAGGTATCTAAGTCTTGAATACTAAATTCTGAAACGGGAATGTATCCTCTATCACTTTCATGACATTTTGTGCACGATTGCATCAACTCTGTTTTCTCCGAAGTTAGCTTTTTAAAATCTGCTGATTAAAAAATAAAATGATTTCCTAATCATGTGCTTGAAGTTATTAAAGTTAAATATTATTGAAACTAAATAGAGAGAGTATATTTGATAATTAATACTGAAACTCTTGGAGAGCAAAAATCTTGAGAAGGTTCATTGAACATAAACTATTATCATAATTAAGATGTACGAAACAATATATATATATATATATATATATATATATATATATGTATATATATATATATATATATATATATATATAAATATATATATAACTGTGTTTTGAACAGAATTATTTCTATTAAAAGCATTTAATTAATTATGCTAGATTAAAAGATGAGAATCTAATCTGAAAAGTACGATTTTACACATAACCCAGAGAGACCCAGATCTGTGCGGTATATCTGTGCGCTAAGTAGGTCAGTCACCAACCAGCTTACGGCTCAATAAAACATGCATAAGCCATAGAACTGGTTGGTGATCTACTTACCAGCCCTATTGTTGTAACATCGATATACAAAAGCAATTTTTGCGTTACAAATGATTTTTTCATTTATTTTAACAAGACGTTCTCCGGCATAAAGTAAAAATATTAGAAAAACTATAAAAGATTTCCAACACAACTAACGTCATTACCTGCTCGGGTTGAAGCTGCCATCGTCTTAATATCTTTTTCTACCAACAAATATACTCTGCAAATGGACAAACGTGCGTTAAGTAATTTTGTATTAAATAAAAAAGGGTGCATGAAAGTGTTCGAAATTTTTTTTTTTATTAATAACACCTGTTTTAGATCGGGTACTTCCAGCTGTTTTAGATGGTTTTTGCTATAAAGTTAATAAGAATTTAAAAATAACTAGGAAATATTATGGAATATTTTGGGATCGAAATAATTAGCATACACTATATTAAGAGAACAATTAAAAACGTGACCGAAAATTATTTTTCAATTTCATTTGGTAATTTGATTGGTACTATAGTCAGCTCTTACGAGGTCGTCAGTTTTTTTACGTCTGCACTTAAAGCTGGGAGTTCTCCTAAACATCGACTTTTGTAGATACTTGTCATAATATTGGCGGGGGTCCGTGTTTAGCTCCAAACTTAACTTTCACTGTTTTACAGCCCATACAAGTAGCTGGTAAAGACGATTATCCTCGCCCTCCCTCCCCCACCCTCCCGCGAACTCCGTGAAAGCAGCCGTCCGTGACGACAGTTTACAGACGACAATGAATATTTATGGCAGAAATTGTAATTACCTCCCCTTATCAAATCTAAATTATCTGCCCCTACCCCTAATAGCCGACCCGGCTCTACGGTTGTAAACATTCGGTGTGAACCACAGCTCACCTGACGGGTGGGGATGAGGATGGTGGCTAAGCTGCGTGGTGTCTTCTATGGTCCCCATGAAGAGAATTATATATATAGATAGATAGATATTCGAGAAAGTTTAGGGGAGATCACTCCCTCTTTATGTTTTTGAATATAATAATTTATCGATTGAATTAATGTTGTTATCTCCCCTTGGTATTGAACAAATTTATTAATTTTTAATGACATGTTAAACATCTAATTGAATTAAAAAAATAGATTTGTATTGTCATCAAAATGGAACGTATCTGGGAAGTTTAAACGAAATTGCTGCATTAGAAGTGGTTCAAAATTTGAGTTACTCAATTTTCCGCAAATCCAATAACAAATATTGCGAACCAAAAAAAAGCTTGTAAAAAAAACAGTTATCAATTGGCTCATGTAATCATGCAGGTCAAATCAGACAAAAACTTTCGTTGAATAAGTAACCTGAATGTTTTTATACGAAGCTGTTGTAAAGAAATGTACTGTGTTGATAGCATTGGAAGCTTTTATTACAATAACCTATTGTTTGCATATACTAGTTATTTAAGAAGGCCCTCTTTTTTAGACTATACAGATCTCCCATATACTTTCTCGCATATTATTTTATATCAATGAGAGTGATGTTTCTTCCACTGCAAGCTCGATATAGAAATGCTTTATTTTTTTTAATATTTAAAAAAAAAATGCGCAACAAATAAACGCATACAAATTGGCCTGTGCTGCATGCAGAACTAGTCATTTAAATTTTCTGAAGCTAAAACTACCAGAGAAGGAAATCAGTTTCTGATCTATACACCCACTTAAAGGCCTTTCCAAACTTGTGTCAAGTATTTTCGAACAAGTACAGGCCAACAACTTGGCGCACTCACAGCGGTGCAAGTCTATACGACTGAAGCAACCACTGAGTTCCCCACGTCATTTACATTCGAGATCATTAAAGACCTCCAGCAGCAGTTTCAGTAGCGGTTTTCTGACTTGGATTCAAAGGCAGAAGATGTGAGACTATTTCGAAACCCATTTGAAGCAAATGTGGCCAATAGCAAAGATGAACTGTTGCTGGTGGTCATTAAAGACACGTTCACAGAAGGGCGGGTATGTTTTTTTTTTACATTTTTGCACAAGGAGAACTTTCCTAATATTAAAACATTTGCATAAAAAAGTACCTTTCAAATTTTGGAACAACATATCTGTGTGTACAAAAAAGTTTAAGAATGAAATATGTGAAGAACAATAAGAGAGCAAACTTGGACCTCGAGTGTGTTGTCTACCCTCGACAGTGTTTTTTTTTTCAGACTTTTTTCTCGGGGAAGGTAGGCACTTGAAATTCGTATTTATTTCTATATTTTATATTTTGTTGGGGGGGGGGGGGGAGAGGAGGTAGACGTTCTTCGGGCAGGGATGGGGGGGGGGGGCTCCATAACACCGAAAAGATGCTTTGAAGAATCTCTGCCCCCCCCCCCCCCCGAACTGATATTTGAAAGTTAATGCGGCCCTCGGGCTGAAACGTTTGGAGACCCCTGATGTAAACAATCGGCGTGATCCACAGCCCAGTAGACTTATCGAGTGATCGTGTCTAGCTAGTTATCTGCCCTTCGGTTAATGAATATAGTTATATAGTGATCGTTACATCTAGTCTTGTTATCTCTCCTCAGTTTCGAAACCATTTAATTAATTGTTCATGTCTACTTAAACTAAAAATATATATATATACTTGTGTTACCATCAAAGTTGAACGTATCTGGAAAGTTTGAACAAAATTTATATTTTTGTCGATTTTTTTTCGCACTATGTAGACTTACAAACATTACACAAATGACGGTCCCGTTAGGAATATATTTGTTTGTACACGCGTAAAACTAGACGTTCTTATAAACACACGCTATTGTAAATTATACATCCTGCTACCGTGTGTTAGCTGGTAGCCGAGAACGTTCCTATAAATTACGTACGCTGTGTTTCTGACTGAGGTTATTTCCCATAGAAGCACGTATCCTGCTAACATAGCAACCCTAACATAAAATAAACAATTGTAGTTGTTAAATGATGTATGAATACTAAGAATATGCTCGAGATAAAGTCCATATATACTACACTACACAATATACGCTATATACTGTATACTATAGACTGTATACTGTATACTCGATACTCGATACTCGATACTCGATACTCTATACTCTACACTGTATACTGTATACTGTATACTGTATACTGTATACTGTATACTGTATACTGTATACTGCATACTGCATACTGCATACTGCATACTGTATACTGTATACTGTATACTGTATACTGTATACTGTATACTGTATACTGTATACTGCATACTGCATACTGCATACTGTATACTGTATACTGTATACTGTATACTGTATACTGTATACTGTATACTGTATACTGTATACTGTATACTGTATACTGTATACTGTATACTGTATACTGTATACTGTATACTGTATACTGTATACTACATACTACATACTGCATACTACATACTACATACTACATGCTACATGCTACATGCTACATGCTACATGCTACATGCTACATGCTACATGCTACATGCTACATGCTACATGCTACATGCTACATGCTACATGCTACATGCTACATACTACATACTACATATTACATACTACATAGTACATACTGCATACTACATACTACATACTATATACTTTACGTCAGGAATCTCGTACACTCAGGCATACGTATACACCATCCTTCTACTTCAACCTTCAACTGCCTTCCGCCGTACCCCGTACATACACGTCAACACATCCGGACTTGCGTGTCGCTACAGGATATAAACGCACCCGCAATGATCGGTGCCACGTATACACCTTTCATACACATTACATCACCACACAATGTACACTTTACTAAGGCCTAGCGGAAGAGAGGGGGGGGGTGGATTAAATTTTCGTGGGAGGGGGCGGACACTGGTAAAAGTATATTTTTTATATAAATTCTATTTCATTGAAGACGTGATTCAAGACAGTCGCTTGAAACTCTAAATGCGACTTACATGAATATATATATATATATATATATATATATATATATATATATATATATATATATATATATATATATATATATATATACATACAGTGTCGTCGCTAGGTCATATGGCACTGGTGCGGCACCTTGTGTTGTCACTTCCCTAAGAACATGAATTTATATATATATATATATGTGTGTGTGTTTGTATATGTTTGCAGTTAGTGCTATCCCACCTCCCCCCTCCTACAGGTGTTAGCTTTAAACTGTGCACACACTTATTAGTAACAATGCTTATCTATACAGGTTTATTAAAACAGCTGAATGTAGTCTTCACTATAGCGTGCCAGTTTACGTTATGGTGTCACCCTCACGCCCACCCCTGTTTAGGTAGTTGTTGATTTCAGTGTTATGGTGTAATAAGTCGTGGTTTTACATGAGTAGAAAGTATGTTGTAGACAATCTAGGTAGGTATACACACCATCATGCAGCTTTTTAATTACACATACAATACCGTCGAGCACAGGAGAACAACATAATGAAAAATATATAATAAATTTATAAAGATAAGTTTTTGGATAAAAAATAGATAATAAACATACTTTTTACTTATGTTCAAATTAGACAATAAACATACTTTTTTTTCTTATGAATAATAGTAAGAGTGGGCTCAATTGAAATATTTTTTTTTTAAATCGTGCCATCTCTTTTAACTCTAACAGTCCCGGTTAGACCCGCTTTATAAATAAGTCACGTGATACACTCTTCATAACACATCTGAACGCATTGTACCGGAACACAGGTAAACTGCACAGTTCGTTACAACAAAAACAAAAATATGGCTGCTATCATTCCTTATTTAACACACCGACAATGACATGGCGAAAAAACAGAGTGACTAGGGAGTGTTGGGGGGGGGGGGGTCAGCTTGAAGATTAATCTTCGGGGAAGGGTGGTGGGAGGTTGACCGAAGGTAATTTATAAAAAAAAATTCTCAGGCATCACTGAGTCCACCCAGCTCTGATGGGTACTGGATTTTCGTTGGGGAAAGTAAAAGCGGCTGGGTAATGGTTATAGCACCGTCCTCACCATCCCTTCATATACCGAGTTAGTAAAACACATACGCCCTCATGTAAGGATACGCCTCCCAATTTTGTGCTTTACCTCACTCTCATATACGAGTCTTTAAGCAGGGAACATTTTTCTAACATATCACGCCGAGCTGTGGGACACGCCCGTGATATGTGACCAACACTACCGCAGCAATAACACTTGAGATCATCTGACCGTCGATGTACATTTTCAGTACGCCAGTTGCACGCTCTACTGGTCCCATTGGGATAGTTTCGTTGTACGTGGCCTGGTTTTCTACAGCTATCACGGGCGCCTGTATCTATATCCATACTGCACTCTTTGGCAATGTGACCTTGTTCTTTGCATTTGCAGGTTTCATCATCCCTACGGATTGCTAGGTCTTTCACCCCATCAACCTTAGAACGAAAATAACAAATTTTTTATAGGAAGTAGGCCTATAGGGCATATACTTTAACCAGTGTCATCCGGGAATTTAAGTGAGTCCCCCCCCCCCCGTGCGTAAGTTTCAAATACTCCCTCCCCCCCTCTCCGAGAAAATTATTTGAAAGAAACACTGGTAACTAATTGAAAGGCTGACAAAAAGGAAAGATGATGATAAAGAGACTTCTATAAACCATGTTCTTTTGTCGAAAATCTATTTCCTCCAGACCAATGACGACGCACCTCATTACACCCTTATTCCCATTTTACAATATTGCAACCCTTGTTTAAATCATTTTGAAATATTAAATGCGCTTGTTTCCCTTTGATGAAGCTCAGGGATCTAACCCAAGACTTTGAAGACTGATCAATAGTATTCCAACAATTTACAATAGAAGTCTTTGGATGGCATCTAAACTGAAGATTTTAAAAAAATGGTACGAAATATAGAAAGCTGTGACGTCATACTGTTTAACCCCCTTTTCCATTTACTCCGCATCAGCCAACAAATTAGAAAAGTAAATTGTCGTCTCCAAATCACCAGAAATTTAAATCAGGTTCAATTTAATCCAATCTACACGATAAAAGTGTTAAAGAAATTCAAATTTAGCAAGAATTAAGAAAAATAAATTTAACACAATCTCGCATGTTCTTATCACCCACCTTTCCCTTAGCGATAGCGCACCATATTAATTAAAACCTACCCCTGCACAGGTCTAGCACTCCCCCCCCCCAGCAACGACATTACCAACACCCCATCCCTGACTCTAACCCTAACATTAAAACACAAACCCAAACTTAGAGCTAACCCTAAACCCAACATCAATCCATACACCAACTCAAAACCTACGCCAAACCCTAACCCTAAATCAAACCCTAGCCCTAACTCTAAGTCTATCCCTAACTGGGGGTGGGGGTAATCTGACAGGGGGGGGGGGGGTAATTGCTGCGGGGTAATATCGGGGAGAAATGTCCTAATAGATCATGGTTCATCAGTTACATTTCTCCAAACAACTCAGCATTGATACATTTTCGTCCCTTGTTACCATATTGTGTGCAGCCACAAGTTCTCGCTACTACAGCCGCCTAGGGCAGGGTTTCCCAACCCCGTGCCCGCGGGCGCCATGGCGCCAGCCGAACGATTCGTATGTGCCCGCCTCTCACTATTCGACAGAGACAGAATTTTTTTCATAAACATTATTGAAAGGTTGAAGGGGATGGAAATCGAAAGTTTGAGGGGGGGGGGGGGGTGCAAATCGAAAGTTTGAGGGGGGGGGGTGCAAATCGAAAGTTTGAGGGGGGGGGGGTGCAAATCGAAAGTATTGTCCCCGGGTGGCGGGAAGGGTCGCTACGCCTCTGGAAGGAGTTTGCCGATTTAAAATAGGTGGTGCCCGATATTTTAGAATGTGCTCTAGAGTAAAAAAAGGTTGGGAACCCCTGGCCTAGGGAATACCATTATTTTATGATTTGCTTGACGATTTAAGCAATATTTGTTGTCCAACCCAATCAAAGCTTTTTTTTCTTTCCATCACGGAGACGGCAGGTAAATAAAATATACATGTATACACCACGATCAGCCTCTAATCAATGTAATCAATACCTTTATATTGTTTTAAATTCAAAACATATTGATCGATCAATGCTTATATATATATATATAGGCTATATATATATATATATATATATATATATATATATATATATATATATATATATATATATATACATACATACATACATATATCTTGCTCAAGTACTAACAATAGAGAAAACATAACGTCTTTGGATCCCGAGGCGTAGCACATTTTGAGTAATTTCCGTTGACCGGAAGTTGTACTTTAAGCTTTTTCCGATTTCTCGAAAAAAAAAAACCGCATATAAAATACTAATATTCCGCACTATTATACACAAATTGGTTACTGTTCACTTGGTGCACAATTCTTTTTTCTACGAGATTAGATTCTATTTTTAAAAGTTTAAGCATTTAAAAATTGATTACAAATAGTGTTTATATCCCGAGTTGCCATCCCCTCGTATTGTTTATAAGAATTATTCGAGAAATTTTAGGGGAGATCACTCCCGCTTTATTTTATTGGGCTTATCGAAAGGTGACTCATGAATCCTCACCAAAATTTAAAGAGTGGGGAACATCAACAATGAATGGTAACACAGTTGATTATTTCAAGAAAGATAATTTATTTGAACCAAACGTTAGCAACATTAATCTAGTGCTATGACGTGTTTTGTTGTGTTAAAAAAAACGCGAAATTATTAATTGTCGTCTGTTTACGTGTTGCAAAAAGATTAGCAGTGCGGTTGATGAAATGGAATCAATATACTTCATGTAATAGTTTCACCTTGACCTAGTTCTCGTAGATATAGATCTAGTACCCGTGTGTGAGTCACGTGTCACATTGTTACATGTCTGGAATTTTCCAAGAAAATTTAACAAAGGGGGATAGGATATGAGATGGGTGGTGGTGGGGGGGGGGGGGGGGGGAGCATGGGAGTTATGGGTGGTGGGGGGGAGCAGGGGACAGGACGGTAGAATAGAAAATACATCGATTTTTAATCGTTTTGTTCTCGATACCTCAATGTCTGCCCAGGGTGGAGGTAGGCAGTTATTTGTAGATTATAGTATCAGGATTTAGCTCTCACATCTCATTAGGCTGTGCAGCTGTTTCTTATCTCTAGCCTGTCATTTGGTCGACTTCGCTAGCATCCAGTTTGTAGGTAGGTCTACATTTTATTTACAAGTTATTTTAATTTTTACAATGTTTTTTTCTAATACCAACATGAAGAATTTTTACGTTGGTGTAAATAGTACATTGGTGGAACACGGATTTTACTTGGTGTGTTGTATAGAAATAGGGGGCGTCCCTAAACGCCGTCACACTCATAGATGGAGGTTCGGTTTTTTTTTTTTTGACGACGTTTGACGAGTGTAAGGGGGATAAGGGTTGGGCTCAGAAAGTAAGACGACACATAAATAATTTTCGAATAAAGCCGTCATTTCGCATTTTTAAATTATTGCTTTTTGTACCTTGTAACACCGCGTTTACACTTGCGACATGTATACTAGATCAATACGCGTCTAAAAAATTACAATGATGACCGAGCTAAGTAAATATTTGAGAAAAAAATCGATATTCCAAAAACACAATTACGGTTTTAAAAGGGATGGAGTGTTTTTGCAAACGACGTGTGACAATTGGTAAGGAATGGAGGGTATAGCTTTAAAAAGGCGTGTCGTTTCTGGCTCACCCCCGTTTACTCTAAGGACAAACGCAAGTGGTGTTCTGTGTACAGCCTACTATATTTTACTAAAGTGAGTCAGGTACCCATCATAGCTGGGTTGACTCTGGGACTTCCGTTGGATCACGCCGTTAATTTAGTTCTATAAGCTCTACTTACCTGCCGATTAATATTTATATACACTATAAACGTAAGCATGACCTACTGAAAGCGAGTTTGTTTATTTTTAAATTATCATTTTCAGGAATAGAAAAAAAAATGTTTAGGATATTATTTTCAAAATACTGTTTAGTTACCTGAAGTATGAACAATCAAAAATATATTGTGTACGAAAGTGAAACACAAATACAAAAAAATCAAGTTTTTAACACAAAATCAAGTTTTCATAATCAGATCTGTTTTTAAATAAACCGGGAGTGATCTCCCCTAAACTTTCTCGAATATTCTTATATAAAACAACAGGGGATGGGAACTCGGGCTATTGACATGATTTTTAATCCATTTTAAATACTTAAAGTTTTAAAAATAGAATAAAATCTCGTAGACAAAATAATTGCACACCAAGTGAACTAGTGAACGCCAAATAAAAAAGTGCACAATAGCGCGCAATATTATTAGTACTTTAAAAATTTACATTAGTTTTTTGAGAAATCGGAAGTAGCGTAAATTACTACTTCCGGTCAACGGAAATTACTCAAAATTTAACAGAAGGTAGAGAATTAGATCTTTTACTTACATGTGAAATTTCATTTATCTATCTGAAATAGTACTCAAGTTATAGGCTTTTGAAAAATTCAAAGTAGGAAAAGTACCACTTCCGGTTATCGGAAATCGCTCAAAAGTTGATACGGATCCACGATTTTGATAAAATACTTATATATGAAATTTCATCAACCTAGCTATAACGGTACTCAAGTAATCGTGTTTACACACGGACACACACACACACAGACACACAGACATACGGACAGAATTGCAAAGCCCAGTTTTTCAGACTGGATTACGCATAAAACCTCTTAATTTTGATAAATCTGGATTGATAATTTTTGCCCGATTAAAATAAGTCCTCTATACTTCGGATGTGATGAAGGACTGAGGTGTAATACGGTGAAAATTGTTAAAATTTCAAGTGATTTTTGTGCACGATTACAATACTTTCTCTATACTTCGTATATACGAGAAAGTAAAAATGTACACGATTGTGAAAAGAAATATAGAAACGTCTTCAAAAATCCAGCTAGTTTTGAGCTTTACCGACCATATTCAAATAAAGTATTCTTAAGATACATTTAGTGATTGTGTTATTTCCTTAATAACACGACTGAACTTGGGTTTGTTTGATTTCTATTTTCTTCTTCAGAATATGACAGTACCGTTATTACTGTGCATGTATGTATCAATTGGCATACTCTACGCATGCTTTTTGACGCCATGCCTGTCTCTAGCGGTGTTAACTTGCGGAGCTGGAGAGTTCCTGGCGCCAAATATCACGTGCTTGCCATGCCCCGATGGGACTTACAACAACCTGACGAGCCATATAATGGCGGCGTGTTACCCCTGCAGGAAGGCAGACCCAGATCTGCTAGAGATGGAGCTCCAGCTCTGTACTAACATTTCACAGAGTGTTATAGGATGTGTGATGAATTATACGAGAGTGGATGAACTCTGTGAGCCGCAAGGTTAGTGTAGAGTATAAAGGTTATATTAATTCGTCTTCCTATTAAAGTGGGTTTTGTGTATATCAGGTGAAATAAGCTTGAGCACTTACACAGACATACGCACGGACACACATACAGACACTAAGAAACAGACACACATAAGAGTACACAGACATACAGAGACACATGCAAACACACGCAGACACAAATGGAAACACAGACAAACCAACGTATACACACGCACAGGTACAAAGACACACACAGATTACAACTTTGAACAAAATAATAGATACATAAAAATAAATAAACATTTAGTATTACTTGTTCTGAAAGAAATAGGGCCTATATTGGTAACTCAGCTCGAGAATAATTATCAGCGATTATCCTGCGCCTTAAAATATTATCCGTTATTTTTAAAAATATGTTCGGCATTCAGCAATTGTGTGTGTCATCTATATGTGCATTGAAAAAGCAAATCTGTACTCTTAATAAATCATATAGAAAATACGGGATCTAATTTTACATCCCCTTGAGTTTTAGTACTAAGGTGATAAGTAGTTTGAAACATAGAGGGAGAGAAACTAATATCAAATTGTGAAATACCGAGGAGTCCTATTTTATATAGAAATATTTTCAAATTTGCAAAATTATTGCATGATTTGATTTATTCAATATATTTACTTAGCAATTTCCCATTATTTTTCACATTCCAGACACAAACACGTCAACAGAACCACCAGTTGTCTACACTATACCGCCGATGGTACATGAAACCAGCTTTCAGACAGTCTCTGAAATCAGTTCAGAATCGAATCCGACAGCAACATCATCTGATGAAGTAGACATCAATTTAGAGACTATATCTTACAATTCAGCCTCAGACATTACAACAAATACACTAAGTACAACAACAACAAGCCGCATTCTTATAACAAGTAGCTACTCATCCGTAAATACCACAGCATCAACATCTAAAACTGCAACAAGCCAAGTAGCTATAAATGGAAACAATTCAGGAACAATCACTACTACACCAAGAATAACCACTACTAGCCTAATGTTTCTAATAACTAATACTTCATTGTCAGACACAACAACATCACCATTAACAAACAGATCCACACTTGCAATAGGTAACAGTTCTGTATCAACCACGACAGCAGGTATCCCAAGGACTACAACTACTAGCTTCATGTTCAAGGTTAATAATACTTCATTATTAAATACAACATCAGCACCTAAAACAGCATCAATCACACCAACAAACATAAATGCAACCATCACATCATACACGACAACATCAGCACCTAAAATAACATCAATCACACCCATGACTATAACTGGAAACATTTCAATATCAAACACGACAACATCAGAACCTAAAACATCGACCACACCCTTGACTATAACTGGAAACATTTCAACATCAAACACGACAACATCAGCACCTAAAACACCAACCACACTTTTAACTAAAACTGGAAACATTGCAACATCAAACACGACAACATCAGCACCTAAAACATCAACCACACACTTGACTATAACTGGAAACATTTCAACATCAAACACGACAACATCAGCACCCAAAACAACATCAATCACATTCATGACTATAACTGGAAACATTTCAACATCAAACACAACATCAGCACCTAAAACATCAACCACACCCTTTACTATAACTGGAAACATTTCAACATCAAACACGACCACATCAGCACCTAAAACATCAACTACACCCATGACTATAACTGGAAACATTTCAACATCAAACACGACAACATCAGCACCCAAAACAACATCAATCACATTCATGACTATAACTGGAAACATTTCAACATCAAACACAACATCAGCACCTAAAACATCAACCACACCCTTTACTATAACCGGAAACATTTCAACATCAAACACGACCACATCAGCACCTAAAACATCAACCACACCCTTGACTATAACTGGAAACATTTCAACATCAAACACAACATCAGCACCTAAAACATCAACCACACCCTTTACTATAACTGGAAACATTTCAACATCAAACACGACCACATCAGCACCTAAAACATCAACTACACCCATGACTATAACTGGAAACATTTCAACATCAAACACGACAACATCAGCACCCAAAACAACATCAATCACATTCATGACTATAACTGGAAACATTTCAACATCAAACACAACATCAGCACCTAAAACATCAACCACACCCTTTACTATAACCGGAAACATTTCAACATCAAACACGACCACATCAGCACCTAAAACATCAACCACACCCTTGACTATAACTGGAAACATTTCAACATCAAACACAACATCAGCACCTAAAACATCAACCACACCCTTTACTATAACTGGAAACATTTCAACATCAAACACGACCACATCAGCACCTAAAACATCAACTACACCCATGACTATAACTGGAAACATTTCAACATCAAACACGACAACATCAGCACCCAAAAAAACATCAATCACATTCATGACTATAACTGGAAACATTTCAACATCAAACACAACATCAGCACCTAAAACATCAACCACACCCTTTACTATAACCGGAAACATTTCAACATCAAACACGACCACATCAGCACCTAAAACATCAACCACACCCTTGACTATAACTGGAAACATTTCAACATCAAACACGACAACATCAGCACCTAAAACACCAACCACACTTTTAACTATAACTGGAAACATTTCAACATCAAACACGACAACATCAGCACCCAAAACAACATCAATCACATTCATGACTATAACTGGAAACATTTCAACATCAAACACGACAACATCAGCACCTAAAACATCAACCACATCCTTGACAATAATTGGAAACATTTCAACATCAAACACGACAACATCAGCACCTAAAACATCAACCACACCCTTGACAATAATTGGAAACATTTCGACAACCAACACGACAACATCAGCACCTAAAACATCAACCACACCCTTGACAATAATTGGGAACAATTCAACATCAAACACGACAACATCAGCACCTAAAACAACAACCACACCCTTGACTATAACTGGAATCATTTCAACATCAAACACAACATCAGCACCTAAAACATCAACCACACCCTTTACTATAACTGGAAACATTTCAACATCAAACACAACATCAGCACCTAAAACATCAACCACACCCTTTACTATAACTGGAAACATTTCAACATCAAACACGACAACATCAGCACCTAAAACATCAACCACACCCATGACTATAACTGGAAACTTTTCAACATCAAACACGACAACATCAGCACCTAAAACATCAACCACACCCTTGACTATAACTGGAAACATTTCAACATCAAACACGACAACATCAGCACCTAAAACAACATCAATCACACCCGTGACTATAACTGGAAACTTTTCAACATCAAACACGACAACATCAGCAACTAAAACAACATCAATCACACCCGTGACTATAACTGGAAACTTTTCAACATCAAACACGACAACATCAGCACCTAAAACACCAACCACACTTTTAACTATAACTGGAAACATTTCAACATCAAACACGACAACATCAGCACCTAAAACATCAACCACACTCATGACTATAACTGGAAACATTTCAACATCAAACACGACAACATCAGCACCTAAAACATCAACCACACCCTTTACTATAACTGGAAACATTTCAACATCAAACACGACAACATCAGCACCTAAAACATCAACCACACCCATGACTATAACTGGAAACTTTTCAACATCAAACACGAAAACATCAGCACCTAAAACATCAACCACACCCTTGACTATAACTGGAAACATTTCAACATCAAACACGACAACATCAGCACCTAAAACAACATCAATCACACCCGTGACTATAACTGGAAACATTTCAACATCAAACACGACAACATCAGCACCTAAAACATCAACCACACCCATGACTGTAACTGGAAACATTTCAACATCAAACACGACAACATCAGCACCTAAAACAATAACAATCACACCCATGACTATAACTGGAAACATTTCAACATCAAACACGACAACATCAGCACCTGAAACAACATCAATCACACCCATGACTATAACTGGAAACATTTCAACATCAAACACGACAACATCAGCACCTGAAACAACATCAATCACACCCATAACTATAACTGAAAACATTTCAACATCAAACACAACATCAGCACCTACAACAATATCAATCACACCCATGGCTATAACTGGAAAAATTACAACATCAAACACGACAACATCAGCACCTAAAACATCAACCACACCCATGACTGTAACTGGAAACATTTCAACATCAAACACGACAACATCAGCACCTAAAACATCAACCACACCCATGACTGTAACTGGAAACATTACAACATCAAACACGACAACATCAGCACCTAAAACAACAACCACAACCTTGACTATAACTGGAAACATTTCAACATCAAACACGACAACATCAGCACCTGAAACAACATCAATCACACCCATGACTATAACTGGAAACATTTCAACATCAAACACGACAACATCAGCACCTAAAACATCAACCACACCCTTGACAATAATTGGAAACATTTCAACATCAAACACGACAACATCAGCACCTAAAACATCAACCACACCTTTAACTATACCTGGAAACATTTCAACATCAAACACGACAACATCAGCAACTAAAACATCAACCACACCCTTGACATTAATTGGAAATATTTCATCATCAAACACGACAACATCAGCACCTAAAACATCAAACACACCTTTAAATATAACTGGAAACATTTCAACATCAAACACGACAACATCAGCACCTAAAACATCAACCACAACCTTGACAATAATTGGAAACCTTTCAACATCAAACACGACAACATCAGCACCTAAAACATCAACCACACCTTTAACTATAACTGGAAACATTTCAACATCAAGCACGGCAACATCAGCACCTAAAACATCAACCACACCCTTGACATTAATTGGAAATATTTCATCATCAAACACGACAACATCAGCACCTAAAACATCAAACACACCTTTAAATATAACTGGAAACATTTCAACATCAAACACGACAACATCAGCACCTAAAACATCAACCACAACCTTGACAATAATTGGAAACATTGCAACATCAAACACGACAACATCAACACCTAAAACATCAACCACACCCATGACTATAACTGGAAACATTTCAACATCAAACACAACATCAGCACCTAAACCATCAACCACACCCATGACTATAACAGGAAACATTTCAACATCAAACACGACAACATCAGCACCTGAAACAACATCAATCACACCCATGACTATAACTGGAAACATTTCACCATCAAACACAACATCAGCACCTAAAACATCAACCACACCCATGACTATAACTGGAAACATTACAACATCAAACACGACAACATCAGCACCTAAGACATCAACCACACCCATGACTGTAACTGGAAACATTACAACATCAAACACGACAACATCAGCACCTAAAACATCAACCACACCCATGACTGTAACTGGAAACATTTCACCATCAAACACGACAACATCAGCACCTAAAACAACAACCACACCTTTAACTATAACTGGAAACATTTCACCATCAAACACAACATCAGCACCTAAAGCATCAACCACACCCATGACTATAACTGGAAACATTACAACATCAAACATGACAACATCAGCACCTAAAACATCAACAACACCCATGACTGTAACTGGAAACATTTCAACATCAAACACGACAACATCAGCACTTAAAACATCAACCACACTCATGACTATAACTGGAAACATTTCAACATCAAACACGACAACATCAGCACCTAAAACAACAACCACACCTTTAACTATAACTGGAAACATTTCATTATCAAACACGACAACATCAGCACCTGAAACAACATCAATCACACCCATGACTATAACTGGAAACATTTCAACATCAAACACGACAACATCAGCATCTGAAACAACATCAATCACACCCATGACAATAACTGGAAACATTTCAACATCAAACACGACAACATCAGCACCTAAAACATCAACCACACCCTTGACAATAACTGGAAACATTTCAACATCAAACACGACAACATCAGCTCCTAAAACATCAACCACACCCATGACTATAACTGGAAACATTACAACATCAAACACGACAACATCAGCACCTAAAACAACAACCACACCTTTAACTATAACTGAAAACATTTCAACATCAAACACGACATCATCAGCACCTGAAACAACATCAATCACACCCATGACTATAACTGGAAACATTTCACCATCAAACACAACATCAGCACCTAAAACATCAACCACACCCATGACTATAACTGGAAACATTACAACATCAAACACGACAACATCAGCACCTAAAACATCAACCACACCCATGACTGTAACTGGAAACATTTCAACATCAAACACGACAACATCAGCACCTAAAACATCAACCACACCCATGACTATAACTGGAAACATTTCAACATCAAACACGACAACATCAGCACCTGAAACAACATCAATCACACCCATGACTATAACTGGAAACATTTCAACATCAAACACGACAACATCAGCACCTGAAACAACGTCAATCACGCCCATGACTATAACTGGAAACATTTTAACATCAAACACAACATCAGCACCTAAAACATCAACCACACCCATGACTATAACTGGAAACATTACAACATCAAACACGACAACATCAGTACCTAAAACATCAATCACACCCATGACTATAACTGGAAACATTTCAACATCGAACACGACAACATCAGCACCTGAAACAACATCAATCACACCCATGACTATAACTGGAAACATTTTAACATCAAACACAACATCATCACCTAAAACATCAACCACACACATGACTATAACTGGAAACATTTCAACATCAAACACGACAACATCAGCACCTAAAACATCAACCACACCCTTGACAATAACTGGAAACATTTCAACATCAAACACGACAACATCAGCACCTAAAACAACAACCACACCTTTAACTATAACTGGAAACATTTCATTATCAAACACGACAACATCAGCACCTGAAACAACATCAATCACACCCATGACTATAACTGGAAACATTTCAACATCAAACACGACAACATCAGCACCTAAAACATCAACCACTCCCATGACTATAACAGGAAACATTTCAACATTAAACACGACAACATCAGCACCTAAAACATCAACCACACCCATGACTGTAACTGGAAACATTTCAACATCAAAAGCGACAACATCAGCACCTTAAACATCAACTACACCTATAAATATAACTGGAAGCATTTCAACATCAAACACCACAACATCAGCACCTAAACGAACATCAAGCACATCCCTGGCTTTATTTGGAAACTTTTCAACATCAAACACATCAGAAACTACAACATCAATCACATAAATGAATATAACTGAAATCATATGAAAATCATACATGACTTTTTCGCGGGGGCGGTTCTTTACATACAGTGAACGCGTCCAGCGCTGATGTACAGCTGATTGTGTTTACGTCCGGTGCGGTCGCAGGTATCACGTGATTTAGGTCACGTGTTTGCAAGGACTCTATATCAGCACCCAAAACAGCAATCATACCAATGACTATAACCTCAAACATCTCAATATCAAACACGACAACATCAGCACCTAAAACAACATCAATCACACCCATGACTATAACTGGCAACATTTTAACATCAAACACAACATCAGCACCTAAAACAATATTAATCACACCCATGACTATAACTGGAAACATTTCAACATCAAACACACAAATGACTATAACTGGAAGTACTCCAACATCACACACAACAACATCTGCACCAAAATAACAAGAACCAACCAGCAGCCTTTAGCTGGTATCTTTCGAGAGTCAACCACAACAATTGCTGAGCCTGTAACTATAAGACTAGAGATAGTGCTGAAGCATACAACCAGAGGGCTGGGCACTTAAAAATACAAACATTTAGATATATTTTAATCTTGTGTAACACTCAGTAGAAGTAATGACTGTAACAAGTCAAATATACCACAACAGATTCTAACTACAGCATGTAATTTATCAGTCTGGTTAACACAAAATTTTCCTACACAACATCAGTCCACACATTTTTGTCCGACACCTTGCCCTCACTCATTGATTCACATATGAACGTCTCAAAATACTGACATCTGCACATTCACTATCTCTTGAACATCACACCCAAATATCATTCACAACACAATGTGCATTGAGCCTAGTCTTCTTCCTATCAACCACACCCACTTTTACATCAAACATTTTGAATCTTCAATACCCATTGTTGCTGTGTCCAAGCTTCAAGACACCCCTTTCCCCCCCCCCCCCCCACACATACATTTTATCTGTAAGGTATTCTTATATGCAAGTCACTGTCCAACTCTAATCACATAGAAAAATGATATATATATATATATATATATATATATATATATATATATATATATATATATATATATATATATATATATCTATATATATATATATATATATCTATATATATATATATATATATCTATATATATATATATATATATATATCTATATATATATATATATATATATATATATATCTATATATATATCTATCTATATATATATATATACATATATATATATAGAGCCTATATATATATATAGAGCCTATATATCTATACTCACATATATATATATATATATATATATATATATATATATATATATATATATATATATATATATATACATATGTATACATATATATATATAATCATATATATATATAAATATACATATACACATACATACATATATATGTACATATACACATACATATATATATATATATATATATATATATATATATATATATATATATATATATATATATATATATACAGATTTATGTTTAAAACAATGTCCTGCCTACACCACCCACTGTAGGTTAATGGTATGAGCAATGTAATATAAGGCTTTCTTTTGCTTTTTTAATATATTTTCTTATTCTTGAATGAACAAATTTATACAACTGGCATCCACACCTTTGGTTTTTAAATTTCAATACAAGCTTACATAACATAATACATGTAAAATTGTTTTCCTAAATTTACGTGAATCACTAAAATCTGATTTTGAAAGCTCGTTTGCTTTCATGGTTTGTGGTGTAAGGGTGGATACTGGAGATTGCAAAAACTAATAGACAATTAGATGATTGCGACTTGGCAAAGAGTGGGCAGTAAATATGGGGGTAAAATTTTTAACCTCCCATCCCCATGATGACCAATTTCTGGCAATGCCACTGATGACATGATCTATGCCAACGCAAGTGTTTTTGTCATGCAATTTAACATAATAGAAAATAATTATGAACACATTTACAAAAAAAATATTTTACTTTTAATGTGCAAGTTATAAACAGGGCAAGTGAGTAGCCAGTTAGAGAAATATTTATTCAATATTACATTTTAAGAAAACAATTTTATTTTTTAAAACTTGTAAATAATAATCGTCGACATTGCATTAACTTTGTTTATATTTTATTCTAAATTTTTAAAAGATAATACTTTTAATATATTTTAAAATTTATATATATATATATATATATATAAATATATATATATATATATATATATGTATATATATGTATATATATGTATATATATACATATATATACATATATATATGCATATATATATACATATATATACATATATATACACATATATATACATATATATATATATATATATATATATATATATACATATATATATATACATACATACACACAATTTAATTAAAATTATTAACAATCACTGTAATATTTGTTAATTAAATCATATTTTATCAAATACAGTTTCAATGCGTTAATAGTTTTAATTGTAAATTATAATGTGTGGAATACATATTTTTGTCTGTAATTTTTTAATATAGGCCAACAAGATTTTTTCATGTTTCGTATTTTCATTTCAGTTTAAGTTAAAAATGTAAAATAAGTTTAGAATTCAAGGTTATACTATTTAGTAATTTATGTAAATACTCTTTCATTTAATTTGTAACTATTAATTATATTAGTCTTTAGTAGTTTTACATTATTTTATGGTTATGTTTTAGTATTCTAAAAAATTTTTACAGTTCTGTATTAAAGTAAATGTTAAATATTTGTATGTCAATTATTTTCTAACATTTAAATTTCTGTACTTTAGAGGTAATTGTTGATTGTTTTGTTTTAGCATTCTGGTTTCACCAGGTAAACAGCCTGTCCATAACCAATGTTCCCTCAAAGGGGAAAATGATCGTGCGTGTGCAACGTATATTTTGTGTGCGCGATGTTCTAAAAGTCTTATATAAGGATACATGCATTTTACAAAATGACTGCGGGGCAGTTGAAAGCTACTGCGCGGCTGCTTAGAGGTAACATAGTCCCTAACCCAACAGTCCACAGATAGACAGTGGTCTTAAAAATGACGACAAATATTACATAACAGAAAGATACCATAAATAACAGAAGAAATATAATGTAAAAATAATCATTTTCACTTTTTTAAATCAAACTAGATAAATTAGTTAAACCAAGCGGTCAAATGTTTTGAGCATCAGAACTGAAATTTCAAAAATATTTTATTTTGAAAATATTTAGTAATAGATGTACATTTCTATTTATTTGATTTGTTATTATTCAAATATATAATTTAATTACTATCATAACCCACCTAATAACAATATTGGCTATTAATGGCTATTCAAAATAATTGTTTTTTAAGGGTTTTTCCGCTTTCCCCATGGTACAAGTTAGTTACCTCACATAACATAAACTCTAACACACATCCCACTTTCATTTTCTACACAGTAGCAAGGTTTAAAGTGACAATGCTACATACTTATGTGTATATAACTTTTTAAATACACATTTCACATTTTTAAAAATGTATCTTAATTTTGATAATATTTGTATGTTAAACATACAATTAGGATATAAAATAACGTTCTGACGGTGTAAACAAAAAATTAGAGGCTTTTGAAAAACAAACGGTATGCAATTTTTTTTTCACTTAACTAAAGCATATTTTACAAACAGCATAAAGTGATGTAAGGGAAGTAAGCAATAAATTATTTAGCTGTGCGACTTGCACAGTAGTTAGAAACCTAGCGCACAGTAATTGCTTAAAATAAAATTAAACAAGTTAATAAAAAGTCTAGTGACAATTTAAGCGCAATTTCCTTAATTAATTTTTTGTGACCAAACGAAAGGATATTTTTGAAAACTTTCTTTTGCAATATTGTTCTAAATTATGGCAGGAATCTATCGGTAAATGTTTCAAGTTGCTAAGTGGTCTGCTTGCCGAGATATGGGCCAAAAACTGCATTTTTTTATTAGGTTTTTTGGCTTTTCCGGGAAATCCAGGAAGGAATTCCGGGAATTGTTTTGGCCCACAATCATCCTTGGAACTTGCTTAACATATTTGCTTTTGGAACTAGTCCTCGATATTGCTTCGTTGAGGAGATACGACTTAAAGCTGCGGACACACATCCATCCTTGACGAGTTAATAATCGCAATTGTCCATATGAGAATTGCACTAAAAACTATAAATTATCTCAAAACACTTGGAAAACAAGCTTTCGCTCCATAGAGGGAATGTTTGAAGTAAGTACCACACATTTTTGAATAACACTGACAGCCAAACTGTCTTTCTAAATTCTAGACAGCAGGTGTGCTTTGCTTTAAATTACTTTTCTCTTTATTAAATTTTTTAATGATAGTTTTAAAAAAATACACACGCTTATGACAAATCTATTCCAAAAAATGGCATCATAAAAAAAATAAAAGAATAAAAATATTTTATTTTGACCAGCATTAACTGTCCTAAAAAAGAAGAATGCAGGATATATAACAACTTCAAAAGTTAACAAAAAACTGACCTACACATTTCATATACAGCGGAATCGAAGTACAGAGTAAACGGAAGAAGCCCTAAAGGAAATCATCATCTCATCACTCCTGCTGGTGACTAGGCCACCAACTACAGCTCTAACATTCTAAGTCCTGCTGGAGTATGGGCCACCAACTACTGGTATACAGTTATGTCCTGCTGGAGTATGGGCCACCAACTACAGGTCTAGAGTTCTGTCCTGCTGGAGTATGTGCTAACTAAAGCTCCCAATTCTTTTTTATGTGGGACCATTCTCTGTAGCCGTTGCTATCTGTTACTCATCCTGATAAAAACCATAAATGAGAAAAAAAAAAATTTCTTTAACTAAATTAACAAGAATTGGTACGTTAAATTTTCTGAAATTGTTTAAATATGATAAAATGACCAATATGAAAAATCTTTAACTAGAAATAGTTTTAATTAGATTCACATAGATCTATATAGTTGATACTAATGTTGCCAATTAGTAGTTGAAACTTGAGTGCCTATTATTAAACAGTAGATAATTATTATTTTAACAAAAATTTACACTAGAAGCACTTAATGCAAAAAGTATGTAAGGCAAAAAACATACATTCTGAGAAAGCAAGTTCATAAATAAAGATTGTTTTTAAAAGCTCCTATTTTTATAACTTATAGTTTTCTAAAAATGGGACTTTATAATTAACCAATCATATTTATGCAGTTAAAATGGAGAAATAGTTATCACGCAGGTACAATTATAAATTATGAGTTAACTGTAAAAAAAATTAAGGTTTATATTTTAAAGAATTCCAAAGATTAAATTTATAATTATTTGCCATAAAAATAAAACAAATTTTCAAGTTTCATTCATTGATCTATCTATTGACAATCAAAAATTAAATAAAATGAGATTAGAAAATCAAACCAATTAAATATCCAGGAAACTTAGTTCATACCTGACAGTTGTCACAGAAATCAAGGTGAGAGTGAGTGGCATTCTGGTGACCTGGCAAGTGAAGTAGAGTTCACCTGCATCTGTGACCTCAGCCTATGAAAGGATAGTGTGTTAAGTACTATGCTCATTCGCCTGTACTTTCCCTCACATGAGCTGTGTACCCATCAGAGCTGGGTGGACTCAGGGGTGATCTACTGACTTGAACCCGGATTCGACTTGAGACTTTTGAGGTAGCAGATTAGCACACTACCTCTAGGCCATGCTGTTTCACATCTTAAACAAGCTGGTGAGAAGCCCCTGTAAACAAAAAAATAATAATTTATAAGCACATGCCATTTCAAGAAAACTGCACAGATGCTGTTACAGATAAATAGTTATAAACATAAAAATAAGATAACTGAGATTAGGCCTATCTATTCTAAATTTATTCTAAACACAACTGTTAAAGTAAACATGTTAGTAGCCTACTCTGGCCAACTGAATTCATTAATGTTTGTAAATCAGTACACTGCAGCAATCAGGTCTAAAAACTTACATTTACATCAGTCATAAGCTTTACAGATTTAGCATATAAGGGCCCTAATTACAATGCTGTTTTTTTTTTAATGAATTCCTTGACATGATCATTTCTGTGGCTCACATGTTTAGTATAGGGACACAACTACACATCTCCAACATACTCGGTTTTGGGCGATTACTCCAAGTTCAGGTGACAACATTCTGACTTCTGCTTCACTGATAAATTATCTTTTCCAAAGCTTGTTTTGGCCTAGCTAATTTCCTCTCTTCATGGAGATTCCAATCTAAAGTCTTTCTGGCGATTGCTTGTTGGTTTATGCAAGCCATATTCAATCCATCCCAATTTTTGTTTCTGTAATGGATTCCTCAGTTAATTAAAAAAAACATTATATTCAATTATATTGGGAAGATTCAAGGTGATCAGAGGCGTAGCAACCCTTCCCGGCGCCCGGGGATATACTTTCAATTTGGCGCCCCCCTCGGGAGCAAATTTTTGATTTGCACCCTCCCCCTCGAACTTTTCATTTGCACCCCCCTCAAACTTTTCATTTGTACCCCCCCCCTCAAACTTTCGATTTGCACCCCCCTCAAACTTTTCATTTGCACCCCCCCCCCCTCAAACTTTCAATTTGGCGCCCCCCCCTAAGGTCGGCGCCCGGGGACATATGTCCCCCCCCCCCCGCTACGCCTCTGAAGGTGATTGATATTATCTGTTAGAGATAGATCTAGGCCTATATTTAGGCCTAACAATTAATTAATTATAGGCCTAGTATCTATTAGAGATAGGACTATATTTAAATAATTAATTATAACTGGATAAAAATGTGCTGATTAAAATTCCAAACTACAGGTGCAGTTTAATGTAACATTTGTTGTATCTAAAAGCCAAAAGCTATAAAACATAATACTGGCTAACAATACGTGTAAGTGTAACTGTAAACTCACTGTAAACTGTAAAGTTTTTTTAAACACACCCTGAGGAAATAGATCTATATACTTTTAACAGTGTCCGCCCCAACCCCCCCCCCCCACCCCGAAAATTTCAAGTAAAGGCTTATGTTCTCTGATGACACATTCAGCTGATCCAGCGAAGCGGGACAGGTCAGTTTGGAAGAGGACTAACCAAAGGTCAAAGGACGTTGAAAGGTAAAGTAAAGAGGTGCATCATCATTCCCAAGATTTTAGGGTTTTGCGCTAGACAAACAGTCGAAGAAAAAATAATTAAACATAGATCTAGAATTTGAAAATATTATCCAAAATCATAATTAATAGGCCCATAGAATATAAATATATATTTTCAAACAAATAAAATTATTTAAGCCCTAGAGTACATTTCTCGCCAACCGAATACACTCGCTAAATCATTGAGTGACCAGATCATTATTACTGATATATACCCAAATGTTTTATTTTTCAAGGCTGCCTTACACTTTAAACTACATTTTTAAAATTGTTCTAGATTAGATCTAGAACTAGATTAGCTGATTTTTTTTTCTCTCAAAAAGTCGACTATTCTTAATAAATATGTTTATATATTCAAAAATATTTTGACCACAAATAGTGAGACCAAAATATTGTTTAAGCTAGTCTACACAATCATTCTCTTCAGCTGAATTCGGCCAATACGGCCTAAATTCGACACAACGGGCTGATACAACAGCGTATGCGTTACACCGAACAACGTCAGCTTGCATCAGAACGTTTTCTGGTGAGAGCCCTTTTGGCACTGTTGGCTGTTCAAGTTTCAACTTAATGCGGGGCCTGTGCAGAAAATATTTCTTTCTTAACGTTCAATCAATATTATTTGACAGGCATATCTACCATCTAGATCTAGATCTATTTAGAATATTGTATTTATTATTATTACTAGATCCATTATGCCTAGCTAGATGTCAATAACGGATAGATCTATATACTATATAGATTATAGGCCTATAGCATAAAAAAAATGACCGATACAATACCGGTACGTAGAATCGATAGGTTCGGTAAAAAATAAATAGTATTAAATAGAGCTGGATTCTAGATCTCTTCTAGATCTAGATCTAGATTCTAAACACTGATAAGTGATATAGACTCTAGGAGTGTCGTCTAAAATACATTTGCAATTCGGTTTTAATATCTTTTTTTTCTGTTTTATTTAGGTTATCATTCTACTTCATTCCTTTAATATTCATAGTTAACAAAGTACATATAATAGGCCATTATACTGATTATAGGCTATAGGGTACTGAATTAAATTACTATAACTATTATTCAATACATCAGCCTAGACCTAAATATTTATCATTACCCAGCATGGGAGTCTGTCCCGAGTATTTGAATTAAAATATTAATTCCTCAGTGTATTATAGTACTAATAGTAATAGTAATAAAATATAATAATAATAATATATCATACATAAAGTCATGACCATGATTTAATTAAATTAATTTCTGATACTGATTTTTATTTAAGTTGGAACAAGATGTACTAAGCCTCATTCATGATTGGAATGTGATCCTGTATCGACTACCACCTTATCATGAAGCAGCACAGACCATCACTTTGTTAAATAAACAACTTTACAACCTGTTATACTGTTTAAGCAAGGTGAGAACATGTTTTGTAACTATCACACATGGATAATTACTTTTTTTTCTACACTAACCCCAAAATATTTTCCATGCATGTTATGTAACAAAATTACACTTCTAGAGAGAGTAAATAGCTCCTCTTTGTATAATATATGTAACTTACAGTGATATAATGTA